GGTCTTTAGGGCAGTGTTTGTTGAGATCAGTGTAATCAACGCACATTCTCCATTCATTATTCTTTTTGCGTACAAGAACCGGGTTGGCTAACCACTCCGGATGATATACTTCTTTGATAAATCCGGCTGCTAAAAGCCGTGTAACTTCTACCCTAATAGCCTCCTTTTTGTCGCGAGCAAACCATCGTAGCTTCTGTTTGATGGGTTTGGCCTTGCCATCGACATTTAAGGAGTGCTCGATCAAGTTCCGAGGTACACCGGGCATGTCAGCGGGTTTCCATGCGAACACACTCACGTTGCTTCTCAAGAACCTAACGAGCGCGTCTTCCTATTTAGGATCTAGGTTGGCCCTGATAAGGGCCGTTTTGCTGGGATTGCCATCAACCAGCTAGATCGCTTTGTGCTCTTTGGACTTGATGTTCTTGCATGGGGCCTCGAGCTCTAGAATCTCCAGGTGATCGGCTGGGGTCTTCTTGGCGTCGAGCGTGGTCTCGGCCATGCGAATAGAGAGGTCGTGAGCCTCTGCTATTTTGAAGCTGTCCTCCTCACAGGTGTAAGCTGCGTATACGTTGCCCCTGAGAGTTAGAATCCCCTTCTCAGTAGGCATCTTGAGCACCAAATACCTGTAGTGAGGTATGGCCATGAACTTGGTGAGCGCTGGTCGGCCAAGGATAGCATGGTAGGTGCCTTCGAAGTCGGCGACCACGAAGTTGATGTAGTCGGTGCGGAAGTGGTCTAGGGTACCAAATTGCACATGTAGCGTGATCTGCCCGAGAGGTGTGGAGCTCTGTCCGGGGAGAACGCCCCAGAACTGTGCCTCGTATGGCTTGAGATCAGTCTGGGTTATCTTCAGGGCCGGCAAACTGTTCTTGAATAGTATATCGATGGAACTGCCGCCGTCAATCAGCACCCTATCAAATTGAACCTTGTTGATACAAGGATCGAGGACCAGAGGAAAATGCCCTAGCTCAGGTATTGCATCCCATTGGTCCTTTCTGCTGAAGGAGATCTCGCGGTGAGACCAAGGAGGGAGCCGCGGATCGGCGATGAGGTTGTCGGCATTGGCCACGTTCAAGCAAGCACGGGCGAGCAGCTTGCGTTCTTGTTTGGTCTCGATGGACATTCTACCCCCAATGATGGTGTGGACGCGGTCGATTGGCTTGACGTACTTGTGACGGGGATCTGCGTCTTCATCATCGTTGTCCTCATTACGCTGCTCCCCTGCGTCGTTAGGCTTGTCGGATGTATCCGGAGCCTGTTGGTGCGTGTAGATAGATTTGAGAACGCGGCAATTCTCCATGGTATGGTTTGACTTGGGATGGAGCTGGCAGGGTCCTTTCAATGCTTTGGTGTAGTCTTCTTCATAGTTGCGACATCCACCACCTTTTTTAACGGTATTGACTTCGCCGTCATCTTCCTGAGCACGCTTGCCCCTGTAATCATCACGATGATTAAGCCGCTGATTACGCCGGTCGTGGTGGTCGCGAGAATCGTTGCGCTGGTTGCGGGGATCAAAATTGTCGTTCCGACCACGGTTGTCGCGGTAGTCGTCGCGGTGTGGGGGTGGTCGGAGCGTGGAACCCTTGCTGCTTCTTCGATGATTATCTTTTTAGCATCATCGGCATCGGCATATTTTTTAGTAGTGGCTAGGAGCGCTGTGACTGATTCAGGTCTTTTGCGGAGGAGCTTGTCTCTTAGGGCATCGTGGAAGCGGAGACCAGTGATGAAAGCTTCGATTGCCTCGTTGTCGGAGATTGACGGGACCTTGATGCGCATCTCCGAGAAGCGTCGGACGTACTCGCGCAGTGGCTTATCTTTGCGATCTCGAATCCGCTGCAGATCATATTTGTTGCCAGGTTGTTCGCAAGTAGCAATGAAGTTGTCGATGAATGCTTGCCTGAGCTCTTGCCAAGAATCAAAGTAGTTCATCAGCAAGCTGACCAGCCATTGGTGGCCTGCATGGCCGACGGCGATTAGGAAGTAATTAGACATGACGTGCTCGTCAGCCATGGCCGATCTGCACGTGGTTTCATAGAGCATGACCCATAACTCAGGGTTCTCCTTGCCGTCATACTTCTGGAGTTTTTCGAGCTTGATGTTTTTGGGCCATATGACTTGGCGAAGGTGATGGGTAAACTGCTTCAAACCCGGAGGGCCGTGGGTGGTATCATATTCCATACAGCGATAGCTTTCGTGGGATGCACGATCGTTGGCTCTTTGGTTAATGCGATCGCGTAGATCGCGTTCTCCAAGGTAATGGCGGAGATCGTTATCGCCATCACGGCGATCTCGATTGCCCTGTGTTGACCCCACGACCGCGTTATCACGGCGATTGTCGCGGTTGTCTCGGGCGGTTGTCGCCCGTGAAGTTGCGGCGGTTGTCGTCCGGGTTACCATCATGACCACCGTTTCTGCCTTGACGGTTGTCTGACGGGTCGTTGTTGCGCAAGCCACGTTGGTTGGGTGGCTGTGAGCGACTTGAGTACTGGCGGCTGCGGCTTGATTTGACTGAGACGGACGGAGCCCGGGCTTGGTTTGCAATCTCTGCGGTCTGGGCCATAGCAGCCGTCAAGTAAGCTTGTACATCATCACGAACTGCCTAGATTGCCGGGTATTGGGTAGTCATTGCATTGTTGCCATAGCAACAGCTACGTTAGCGCTTGGAGTCCTAAAACCCGCTTGTCCCCTACCCTATCAAAGGCATTGTTAAGATCGCATGGCTGGACCCTTGCGCGTCAGGCTCCTCTTCTTCGCCTTCGCTTCGCTTGTCGACGATTAAACCGATCAATATTGCGTGTTTCGCGGCTAGCCTTTCTTGTTTGCTTTCGCCAATCGCCGGTGGCTCATCATTATCGACGACATTGATCAAGTCTCCTCGCCTTTGGTGGGAAAGATGGGAATCGGGAAACCCGGGAGTGGTGCGGGATATCCGGATCGTATTCAACTTCTTCATTGTCACGGCGCTGGAGCTCAGTGTGGACGGAGCCAATAGATGCGATGCTGGACGGGGAGCTTGAACCGCCCTCTTGAACTATGTGGACCGACCCTTCTTGATATTCCTCGATCCGAACCATGTTGACGAAGTTGCGTGGCTTTGGCCGAGGTCGATGTATAGAACATAGATCCGAGTAGCGTTGTATATTGTGCGCGTAGTTGGAAGCAGTGTTTTGTAGGCCATACTCGGACAGCCGGAGACCCATCACGGGGGCTGGTCGTCGACGAACGGAGTGCCCTTCAGGAGTAGATGTGACCACGAGATCCGTACCGAGTCGTGCAGGACGACTGGCCCGAGCTGGTTGGGTAGATCTGTTGTGGGTAGTGGTTACCTGCTCGGTAGGTTGATTTTGAATCGAATCTACCAGAGCTAGGGTTTTAGCAAGCTTGGTGCCGACCCGATCGATGGAGTCGAGCAGGTCAGTGTTGTCGATCTGCCTCCCTTTGTAGCGAGGAAGCGGACGACGGGTTGTCGGCGTGGCTGAAGATGATGCTGGTGTGGCCGGAGCCAGACCCAACGTGGTCGGAGCCGTAGCTGACGCTGGTGAAGCAGTGGTCGACGTAGATTGAATCCGCGCCTCCTCCGTGGTCATGGCGATGAAGTTGTCGGAGCCAGTGGTCCAGGTGATCTGGCCGATGGTGAACGTTAGACCGTTTGGCGTAGCCATGGAACCGGGGATGATGACCATCTTGTTCATCTGGAGAGCAGTACGCACACCCCCTACCTGGTGCACCACTGTCGACGAAATATGGTCGGCAGTCTACCTAGGGGTATGCCCAAGGTAGTAGATTATCGTCAGACAGGTGCGCAAGCTACGAACGAGATGATGACGCAAGACAGACACGAGGTTTTATCCAGGTTCGGCCACCGTGAGGGCGTAATACCTACGTCATGCGTCTGATTGTATTGTTGTATGTCAATGAGAGATGTTTTGAGAGGGGTCCCCCCCGCCTCACTATATATAGTCCGGGGAGCAGTGGTACGAGATCGAAACTAATCCTAACCGGTTACAATTGACATAGGTGGCCGGATAAGGATTCCTATTCTAACCGACCAAGATCTTGCTTGATCTCCAAGTTTGCCTTGATTCCTTGCGCGGGACTCCAAGCAGATTGGCCGGGCCGCGCGTCGTCTTCTAGTGGGCTGACCTTCTGGTGCAGGCCAATTAATCCTAGCCGTAAGGGTAGGGTTAATACCCCCACATATTGGATCCCTTTGCAATGTTTCCGATGACTTCCTTGAGGCCTGATAGGTACTCGATGCCAGCAGGCACGCCACCATACCTGTCTAGAAGAAAATATCCAACATCTTTTCTTTGATTGCCGAATAGCTAGATCGGTTTAGAATACATTGTTCATCACCTTTAACTTTCAACCACCGAAGAGCATTACTCACATGTTCGGATCTTGGATAAGGAGATCTGCTCCTGGACTAAGAAATCAAATAATAGTGGTGATTGTAGCCATGTGTTGGGTATTATGGTTGAATAGAAATGAGGCAAAGATTCAAAAATCGAGTTACTAATTCTTGCTTTGTGTACTTTTCAGGGGACTTTTGGATCAGGCAATGGTCCATGTTGTCTAAAGAGGAAGAGGGAAGAAAGTTGAAGGAGGGCTGCAGGCGTCTAGAAGGTTTGTCACTGCAATTTTTTGGATCCAGTGGGTGGAGGAATCAAAAGAGAATAGAACGGTAATCTTCAGGGGGACGTACTAGATCCAGGAATGGTCGTAGCTATCTAAAAAGGAAGAGAGAACGGCTATGAAGTTTGGATGCAAGAAGTTGGAAATGATGGATGGAAATCTTCAGAAGTTCCGTTGTGGAAGCAACACAAGAGTTTAGAGAACTAGCTTTTTTTTGTCAGTATCCTCGAGTGCGGTGTTTGGACACTACAAGTGTTGCCTGTTTAGCTACAATTTGGAGTTGGGGTTTATTTGCTTAGCGTCTTTAGTTTGGTCTGCATCCTATGCTACTGTGTTTAGACAATCGCAAGGGTCGCTTTTGGTTATCAAGTGAGTCCGGAGTTGAGGCTAGTCCGCTTAGCAGTCTTTGGTCTTAGACCATGGTTTTGTATTGGTTCAGTTTGGTTGTACCTATTCGATTATGAATGTGAGAGACCGGAATACATTTGTTCCTTAATCTAAATAAAAAAATACCTGTCCCATCCCTGTGCATTGAATCTTAGCTTGGGCAGTTCAAGCTTCGGCATCTCCCGTGCCTCGAAGGTCAGGTATGATATCCTCATACAGCCAACTTTAAAATGCTTGAGACTAGGGAATCCTCTTCCACGGATGATGATCTTCTCTTTAGGAGTCCTGTGGATGTGCAATTTGAGGCGGACAAGGGAGGGCAACTGTGAGAGCACCCCAACATCATCCTCATACACATCCTGAACATTAAGGTGCAGGTCATAGAGGCTATGGTGCTGGCCAATCCACCCAGGAACCCTCGAGAACCAGGGACTGTACTTTGCATGGAAGCTCTGGAGATGAATGAAAGAAGCTGAGACTGAACACCATTCATCTAAGCAGGCTCTGATATGTAGGTAACTAGCAGTAATAAGTAGATATTTGAGGCTGCAAATGTTTCCAAGTGCATGCACAAGTTCCCTACATCTTGCAAAGAAACTCGCCTCTATTGGGCGATAACTCGTAATATGTTATTTCGAGATGTGTCGAGATTGGTCAGTTCTCGCACTTTGATATTGTCTAGTGAGTCGTACAAATGAAAGCAACGGCCCCTGTTTCGCTTCTCTTATAATCCATTTTTTCAACTTATTTTTTAGCCGAACAAAGATTTTCTCTCACAACAAATTAGCCGGAATAAAGTGTTTCAACTTGTTTTTTCAAAGCGCTTAACGGGCCGAAGTAACGCAATGATTTCATGTTACTGACCCCATTGGGCAATATTACATTGCTTGGAACAATCAGATGCGATAAACGGCTCAAATGAACAATATCTGATGGTAGCTGCAGATCTGATTGTCCTTTAGATGCTGCAGCATCTATTTCAAATGTTTTCAGTTGCTGCAGACGTCCAATTTTACTAGGTAACACCACATGACGACCACTTGCTATGATCTTTAAGAATCCCAGCTGAAACAAATGACATATATTCCATTCAAGTCCAGTAGTTCAGATGAAAAGGGCCCATCTGAAATTTCAATCGTCAAAACTCGGAGATGCTTGAACTGTAAAATAGGAGGTAGATATAAAGAGGTACCAAATCTTGCTAGCATTCGTGTTTGGGATAGCTGGAAGGATCTTCCTACTGTTTCATCTATTGCACCATCCAAATCGAAAGGAGAGAGTCACGCATCTTGGCAAAGCTGTCTTGTCAAATCTTGTATATCATCTATTATAGTGATAAAATTATCTTCTCTTGATTTATGTAGGATAAGATCAAGCATCATGTCATGAACCCCTGCAAGACACCACCTCACCATTATAGTCTGTATGTATGGGCTGAATCAAACTCCTATTGATAAGCTCATTAAAATAGCTCTTTGCAATATCCTCTGGATCTGTCCCCACGAGCTTCACATATAAAACCTTCACTTACCCACCGTCTAACCAAATCATTCTTATTAATCGTAGTCCTCGGATAAATGCCTACATATAGCATACAAGTCGTCAAATAATGTGGAAGGTTTATGTAGCTGAGGTTTAATATTTGTCTCATGCCATCCAAGCTTGGGCTCACTTCAAAGTTGGAGCCAGAGAGTCCCTTACATGTTCCCACTGCTCCTTTAGTATTCTTGGTTGGTCTGGCTATCGTGCTAGATGTTGTGATAATTGCAAGTGGCAAACCACCACATTTCTTCAAAATTTGAGCAGACACTTCCATCAAATGTGGAGGGCAAGCTTCCTCATTCTTTTGAAGAATAAGCTTCTTGAGTCTTGGTCACTAATTGCCTTCATCTTGCTAGGGATGAAAACGATTGGAAACGATCGATACGAGGCCAAATCACTTTCATTTTCACATTTTTTCTCAAAAACAAAATTGGTACGGTATTGTCGGAAACAAATACGGCACTGATATTCCGGTAATTTCGAAAACAATAATAGTCGATCGAAAAATATATCGATAATGATCGAAATCCATAAGAGCGATATCCTAAAAAATGATAAACACGCCTAACCGTAGAATATGAGAAGAGCCATAAAACTCAACCTATCTCACGTAACAATAGTAATAAATAAAGCCATAATTGACAAGACCACAAGCTAAAACCACAATTCACACCATCTTAGGTCTAAAACAAGCTAAACCGCAGATTCCGTTCGTGTTCGTGGTGACCTGCTAGAGTTAGGGTGCAGTACGTGATTGGTTGATTGCCTTCTTGTTCCTATACGGATGAAATACTTGCCGTATAGTTCCTTTCCAAAAATATTTGCCTTATGCGCTTGCGTGTGTAGATGGGATGCTTAGATGTGGGCCCACTAAATCTAAAGTATATGTATTACATAGTTTATAGATAAATTAGGATTCAAGGCCTTTGAATCGGCAACTATGACGGTAAATTATCGGCTAAATACGGCAATTTTCGAAAACGGTCGGAAGAGGGCAAAATCATTTTTGCTTTCGTTTTTTATTACTTTTATCATTATCATTTTTGTTTTTTCGATTACCGTACCATTTTCGTTTAGGCTTGAAAATCAGAAAAAACTTGAAAACAATTTCCAAAAATCAGAAATTATCATTTTCGTTTTCATCCCTAGTGGCAAACCACCACATTTCTTCAAAATTTGAGCAGACACTTCCATCAAATATGGAGGGCAAGCTTCCTCTGGACCAAACATTCTTTTGAAGAATAAGCTTCTTGAGTCTTGGTCACTAAGTGCCTTCATCTTGTAAACACATTCAATGTTCTTAGCACAACATGCTCTAGCCACAGTCTCAATTCGAGTAGTTACTAATACTCTGTTGCCATTAATGTTCTCTGGAAGAGCACATCTAATGATATCCCATACAGAAGCCTCCCAGATGTTATCAATTACAATTAGGTATTTGACATGTAAATCCATACCATGTGTAGCTTACCTTTAGAGGACAGTGTTCATGAAAACGTGAAAGCATCATAGCTAGAGGCTAGAATAACCACAACAAAAAACAAGAACTCAAGTCGAAAAACTTCAAAAGTGGTTATGTTGATAAGGGTTCCGGTTGAAAAGTTATGAGAGCAATGCCTTCTGTTTTTTAAAGTAACTATTTCTTAACGCATAGTCTTACTAGCCTATAGATGCTGGTGAGAACTAAAATGGTAATTTGAGGAACAGTACTTCGAGAATAGATATGAAATGCAGCATCAAAATTCTTATAAGAACTGTAATACTTTGTTTGTATGGTTTATTTGGTTTATATGTATAACAACTTTGATGATTCTAATAAAGTGCAAAAGTATTAAACATATAATCCAATTAATTAGAGTGTTAATTAGTTGTACTACAGAAACATATAAACTTGGATCTAAGGATACAGGAGGGACTCACTTCAACTAGTCAATCCTTATGGACAGATTAGCATGTTGACTTGTTGAGTACATAATAGTAGCATGCTCAAGAAGAATGACATCTAAATAGAACAAACTAAAACACGGATGGTAGAGGCTGGAACTTTGTTCCCTTATTAAAAAAAACTAAAACACAATAAACCATACTAAGCATAAAATTATTTCAACGCAGGCATACCTCTGTTTTAGAAGGAATTTGTGTAGCGCACTAACGAATTCTGTCTCTTCCCAAATTTCCATGTTGGTGTCCATAGGAGCTACAAAGACAACTTGAGATAGCATGGTTCTCAGAAGCTTCCTAATGTTTGGTTTTTGGGACACATTACACAGAGGCTCTGTTAGCCCCTGGATCTTTCATGAACGCTGTGAACCGACCACTCACCAAAGATTGCTGATTACACACTATGGCTAGAGGTAGAAGAAGGAGGAAGAATAGAGCACACACACAGCACAAGCACAGCACCAGCCATGGCCGGAGCTCTGCAGAGGAGATGGCAAAACCGAACTCGCTCTCTTTTACCGAGTGCGTGTGGGAAGCTATATATACAACTCTACCCATCTAATCCTAGTACACAGACATGTCAGTGCTATGTTGCTACAAATGACTAGATGTGACAACAGGCTGACTTTGGCGCGTCTGCCCTTGTTGTGGCTATAGTGCGGCAGGAGCCTTTCGACGCCCGCCTCGCAGCTCTTACAGCGAGGAGCCTTTTGACGCCTGTCCTGCCGCCGTCCGTTCATATGACAGAAGCAGATTATTTAACAATTCTTTCCCTAATTTCGCTGCTAACCTTGTGAACCTCCACCATGCCGATCATCTTCTTCAACTCCGTGAACCGAAGACGGTCAAACGGCTTGGTGAGGACGTCCGCGAGTTGCCGATTAGTTTCGATGAACTCGATGACATTTGCCCTCCATCGGCTACGCCCCCCGAGGAAGTGGAACTTGACGTCGATGTGCTTGCTCCGGCCGTGGAGAACCGGATTCTTCACGAGGGCGATGGCGGGCTGGTTGTCCACCATCGGTGCGGTGGGTGAGCTTCCACACCGGTCAGCTTCGCCAAAGCGGCCAGACAGCACATACTGACTTGGCGCGCCGCGTGGTGCCGCCGCCCACGCACTGCGCCTCGCACATAGACAGCGCCACCACCTTCTATTTCGGCGATACCATGAGATTTGAGCCGACCGAGGAAGACGAGCACGCCAGAGGTGCTCCAACGTTCGTCGATGTCCCCGCCATGTCTCAGATCGCTGAACACAAGTGAGGTGCAGATCCACTTCCACCGGTCTTGGGGAAGATGATCCCATAATCCACCATCCCTTTGACGAAGGCGAAGCAACCACTTCATTGCAGCCCAGTTGATCCTCTCGGGATCCTCCATGAAACGGTGACGAGCCCACGGGCGAATGCAATGTCCGCCTCATATGGACCAAAGTAACGCGAGATCACCGACGATGCTCCAGAGAGTGTTGCATCTACCTTTCGCGTGAATGCATCGCCTTCGTCGCTTCAGCCGCGCCTTTATCGGAGTCACGACGGCCTACACTCAGCCATGCCGCTCCGCTTCAACAGCTTTGAGGCGTATGCGCCTGACCAAGCGTATTCCTGTGCATATGTACCGCTATACAGCTCTTGTTAAATGGTTGGCAGCAGGGCTCCGCCCACTTGTCACACATGGCAGCTTGCTGGGCCCAAGGCATCATATATGACCAATAATCATGGCCAGAGACAACGACTGATAGGCATCCAACAGGGTGATAATGATGACATCATCATTTGTATATGAATACAGCATTTTGTACGTTGGGACAGCTTCACTCTGTTTTGAAGATTTGCAGAAAGATTAGGAAAAAGGCTGGTTGTTTGAATTTATCAACTTGAAAGCTTATTTTGAAAGAATGGTTATTGATGCCATCTGGCAACAGTTACAATATTTCTTTTTCATTAACCTCTTGGGTTCCGCAAACGAAACTTATACTAATATGCTGCAGTGAAAACCCAAGTTGAAGCATCACTGCTACATGTCAGTGAAATCATGTTTGAAACCTTGCTACACTGTGGCTAATCTTTAGATGAAAACAACAGTCTCGGCTTGCCCTGCTATCAGTTTGAGTTGCCGATGTAGCTGCCGACGGAGTCGGCTGTTGGATAGATGGACAAAGACTATCAAAACATTTTGTGCTAGCTCAACCTGTGTTGTGGTAGTCCAAAATGTTCTGCTGCTCCCCATGCCTAGTAGTAGTAGTAGCAAGCAAAGACTTGGATCTACACCAATGCAACTGCATGCCAAAGTAAAACGGGTGGAGAGGATGCAGCACGTCGCTGCACACCTTCCCTTTTATATGACTGTATGGATATACTGCTCTTGTTAAATTGCCGGCGGCAGCCCCAACGTGTCATACTCACAGAGGACAGCCTGCTGGGCCCAAGGCATCGTACATGACCAATAATCACGGTCAGAGATACTGATAGGCACAGAGGGTTATTCATGCTGCTTTGATGATTCACAGAAAGATTAGGAAGGCTAGCTAGTTATGTTTAATATCCTTGAAAGCTTCTTTGGGAAACAGTGGAATTGTGTTGGACATTTGGGAAGAAAGGATGCATGAGTTCACGAATCATTTCAGAATTGCTTCTGTCTTTGGAGATTTCGTTGCTTACTACAAACTGAACAGGAGAGGGCATTCTGTTGTTTCATTTCTCCGTCGCCTTACTATGCACAGAAAATATATAAATGCAAACGAAGTTTGCATGTATATGTTGGTGTCCATTGTTAGTGTGTTGTTGAATCTGAAAATGAACGGACTTATTTGGTGGAATAATCAGTAATCGCATCAAGATTGGATTGAAGAGGCTCATCTCGATGACCGAGCAGAGAGTATGATACGACATGAGCTTGGGCCTTGGGATTCTCCCATCCTGCTGCTCGCGCCTTGGGATTCTCCCATCCTGCTTTCGTCGGTGTCTTTGTGGGCGTCGCCTCTAGTATAGCGTCATCCCGCATGGTAACATATACTCTGTTTCATGATTGGACTACTAAACTACGCTAAGTTGAATGATTAGGGTCTTCATGTAGAAATGAAGAGCGGACACTTGCCCCTCCCCCATGCCAGCTAATCCTCCCATGATCCCATCTACCCTGCAACATCTGACCATATTGATGTTATGGAGCATGTAACCTGTTGTTGGATAGAGGGGCAAAGAATAGAAAGACACTGTGAGCTAGCTTTTCCTGTTACTAAAGTTGTCCAATACCTCCTGGTACTTCCCATGCGTAGCTAAACACGACTTGGATCCAGCGACCTGCACTGAAGCAAGTTGCATGGCTTGCATGCAACCCTGCTCACTCTGTCCAAGGGTTTGTGTGGTGGGAATTATATGTTTTAGTGATTGAAGAACTAGGGTGTTTAGACACCGAGAGAAGTTGAGGAAAGTTTTGGTTTACACACAGTTTGGTTTTCTATCAGATGCAGCAACATAATCACTGCACGTTGTCCTTTTTATGCTCCTCACACATATGGTGGTGGTGGCAGCCTTCACTGTTCATATATGAATGACGGGCTCAGGCTCAAGCTCAGGCTCCGGCTTATCGTTAACGACTCCAGATTGACGGATATAAACAAAGCACATCACATTTATCTCCATTGGGTCAGGTCCTTAGTATGACCCGTCAATTATAAAGAGTAAAAAGTAACAGATGGTAACAAAGCTCGTGACAACATGTTCAATTGACGTATCTGACCTTAGCAAATCACTTCTAGTTTAATAAAAAAGTGATGGGCTTCATTCGTCCTCCTGCGTTTTTACTCGACGCTGTTATTAAGAAGCTTTTCGTGCTCTCATGTCCCATATGTGAACACAGACGTAGCACCAGTAGATCATGAGCTAAATTCAGGTTAATTAGTAAGCTACCGTATACCTCCTTCCTTGTGCACACACGCTCTCAGTTTGAGCAACAAAAGTGCATTTGGCTTAACCAGTATAGTAGGGCTTCTAGCCCTCCTGATTCTTGAAAAAAAGCACATTTGGCAAAAATTGACAAATGCAGTCTCTTTGTCTTGTGCTTCTTATTTTGATTTTCCATCGTATTACTACACAACACGTAATTGGTTGTTAATTAGGTCATCGCCAACAAACCGGTGTCACCGACAGCAGAGGATTGGAAACGAAAAAAAAAACTCGGTGACCATGCAACAAAAGGGACATGGTTCACAAGGGCAGCGACAGTGCGTTTCACGATAGATCGAGCAAGGTAACAAACTAATCGCCACTGACCAGTTAACATCACAAAACAGCTAATTTCGTGGTGTTTTTGGCTGTGATTTGGTGTGGGAATGGAGGCCCAAATCCTCCTTTTGTCCTCCGGGATTCAGCATTCTAGCCTGTGATTTTCGTTCTTCACTGTGCTGTGTTTTTCGTTTCTGGGAAAGTTTTGCGTTTTTGGTTGTGATCTGAAATTAACGAAATTTGAGCCATGATTCTTCTGGGATAGCTCACCAACCTCCTGGAGATCAT